GTGTAACACCACATTCTGAAATCCCCATCTGTACAATCCTTTTAATACAATTTTACCCCGTTTGTACGGCCATTTAAACCAGTTATGTTCATTTTTTTCATTGTTAATATTGTATGAACTGATTGAAGAATTTTTTTTTTTACAAACTGATAGTTTTATCAGTCACTGATAAGTCAAGTGACTGGTGTTTGTTTTGTTTTGTTTTGTTGTTTTTTTTTTAATTATATCTGCATTTCGGATGCTTATTAAAGAATAGTTGTATAGAAGTGGTATATCTATTAAGACGTCACTCAATTTGACCCAGTCATGAAATTTGATTCTAGCTGGTAATACGGCCACCCCGTGGATACGGCCAAATTTTCATGGCCCGTTGATGACCGTTTTAACGAGGTTCCACTGTAGTTTCATTAGTTAACTTAGTACTCGAAATTTTCGCCAATGCCTTTATACAATAATTATCCTCTCACTGTATTTATTGTATTTATTCTGCATTTGTTTTCGGAAACTAAGTCAACTGGTTTTCGTGAATCCATTGTACGCACTGCTTCTTAGAGTCCAAACTAGAAAACCTAAAGGATTAAAATAATTGTTGAATCATTTTCCTTTCCTGAATATTAATGAAATCTTCCTGTTTCCTTTTCGTTGTACCCTTTCAAGGGAGCCATTCTCAGCTGTACGCGTCTTCAGAGGGCCCAAATGGAAGGAGCCTCCCTTCGAGGTTGTAATTTTGAAGACCCTGCTGGAACCAGGGCTAATTTAGAGGGTAAGATGGTAACCTGTTTGACAAGTTTTCCAACCTAGCTTGTATTCGTGACTCAAAACTCGTCTAACCGTACCTTTTGATTCGAAAATGCTCATTGAAGACATTTAGAGGCCATTTAGGCGCCATTTTGTAATCCCAGCGTGCTTTGCTTTCGTCCTAGTTCCAGACTTTTCAGGTCAATTTTCTTCCGAAACTAAAGCGCAAAATCGTTGTAAAAGTTAGTGTGATGGATTCAGTGTAGCACAAAACCAAACTCGTCGAATCAGACTGATAAGTAGACCGGTAAATTTGAGCAGGCTCCCCGTCATGAACCCGTGGCATGCCAGTACTAGGACGGAAAATTCTTCACAGACGGGAAGCCCTTCTAAGTACAGTTTGAACTCGGCCTTTGAAAGACCTCTTGACATTCCAGTTCGGAATGCTTAAAGGAAATTGTGAGACAACAACCAACGCTTACAAAACGCGCATCCCTATAATAGATCAAAATGTACGTTAACACGCTCTGCGACTAGACAACAAAATTTCACTGTCGGGGTGACCTAAATGCCGCTTCATGAAGGAAAGCTTGGCGTAAAAGCTTTACAGAATGCGTTCTTTTGATGAGTTTGTAGATATTCTTCGGCGTCTACTCCTGTCTAATGCTTACAAAAATGCTATAGACTCACAACGAGCCATCACGTCAAATTAGAGATCGAATAATTTTACCTTCTACTGACGCGTCTTTGGTTTTGTATGGGTCATCACAGCTTGGGTGAGGTCTGGAACCGAAAAGTCTTCGGAAACCCTTGGGTCACTATATTACTGTCGGCTGGAGATCGGTTGTCCCGGGAGGGTAGGAATTCGCTCTGTGTTGGTGCGCCTCGCATGAACAGTCTCCCGTCTTTAAATCCGAAAGGCTTCCATAAAAAAAGACCTGTAGATAGCATTTCCTTTTATTTGGTACCAGCCGGCCTTGTGAGTAGACTTAATCGATAAATACTGACTGCGGGAAAATAGAGGTTATCACTTGTTATCAGTATCAAACTTGCTTAGTAAAAGATGTCTTTTCTTCCAGGTGTAAACTTGAAGAATTCTGACCTAG